GCTCCGCAATGAAAGGCTCTTTAACTTCCACCATTCATTTCCCCTTCCTGGCTGCTCCTGCGAACAGGGAGCGTGTTGTGTCAGCGCACGTTTTCCTTCTCCAAACTTAAATTCATAAGCGCTCCCGTCTGGCTTTGTAGCCCGACAATGCAGCGATTGTGATTTATGTGGGTTTCGGGGGGGAGGACAACGGGTGTCCCGATTGTCCGGCAGCGACTTTCCGAAGTAGGGTGATGTCTGGGGCACGGCGGGGAAGGGATGCGGGGCGCCCCGCGATGGGGCGGCAGCCGGGAGAGCAGCCGAGGGCACCGCGGGCGGGCCACGGTGCTGGCGTGTGGTGGGGATGTCCCGTTAGGGAAAAAACCCCTCCCTAAATCAATAATGAATGGAAGCGTGCCAGCTCTGCACACCGAGGTGCCACTGATCTGCAGCAACGTCGTGCAAACAAAACAAAAAAAAAAAAAACAAACAAACAAAAAAAAAGAAAATAAAAAACCCTACCAAAACAACCATAACACTTTCTCCCGGTGCGACGGCTTTTATGCGCTCGGTGCCCGTTTCCACCGTTTCCAGCGGGAGAACACGGTTCCTGGGAAGCTCGGCCGGCAGGCAGGGAGCCAGGGACCCGCGGCCGCGGAAGCCAGCGTGCCCGAGCTGCCCCTTCGCCTTGTCCCCGTGCCCACGGGCGCTGCCGCATGCGTTTGGAGGCAGCAGATGTTTTAACAGCCTCCGTGTAGAGATTACCGAGTGCCATATGTTAAATACTACCCTTCCTCCGGAAAAAAACCAAAACAAAACAAAACCAAAAACCAAAAAAAACCCACTAAAAACAAAAAAAAAACACCAAAACAAACAACAAAACCACCAAAAAACAACACCCCGCCAAAAAAAAGGCAAAAAAAATAATAACAAAAAACAATGCAACAGTACAGCAGCAAAATCCACCCTTCTTGCACTCGCTGCCCTTCTTTTGCTGATCTGCCTGGCCCATTTAAAAGCATAAATGATTAAATCAGACGTCGCGGGGATGTGCGCCCAGCCCGTCGGGGGGAGCCGCGCTCCGGGACAGCCGCTCCTCCTTGCCATCCC